TTTTTTTTTGGCCGGAGATTTTCCAGCTGTAACTCGAAGATGAATCTTGATTAATTTGTTTGTGTTATGTGAGAAGTGCATTCTGTGTCTTTTGGTGATCTCGTGGTCTTTGATATCTCAATGTTCAGCGACGTGCAGTATGTCTTGAAATAACTGCACCAGTGAAGCCTCTACCTTGTCTGTGCAATAACCCTTTTCAAATCATTAAAATGCTCCAGCGAGACTTTCCAGGCAGCGTTTTCACATTTGGCCTTAGTGAAGAGCTCTGAGCTAACTGGTGACGTGAAACAAATTTGTTGATATCCTTACGCATTGACTTCTTCAAGTTCATCTTGTCAGAGCTCAGATCCCAGAATGTGGTGTGTTCTAGATAATCTCTGAAGATTTAGAAGAGCTTTATAACACTCTGAACTTGAGGAAGGTACAGTACGTATCTCTTTTGGTTTTTTTGAGGTTTGTCTGACAATCCTCCCTCTTTTTATTCTGATTTTTTTTTTTCATCAGCCATTCTTATTAAAGAGAGTCTTAGGGCTAGACTGAGAATGGGAAAGAATGGTACAACTATCATGAAAAAATGGGAACTTGTTTGAAGTTTGTCTTAATCAGCATAGATAACAAAAGATGAGAAATAAAGTGCAGCAGCAGACTGAATAGCTTAATGTCCGAGCCTCGCGTTCTGAAGGGTTGTTTAAATCCATACAGCAGCTTTGCTAGAGAAGTGATAAAGGAAGGAGGAGGTACTGGAGATGATGAGGAATGAAACAAGCAAGTGGAAGAAAGAACAACTTTAAAAAAAAATAGCCTGACTACTTTGTATTGCATCCCTGTGGGAATTGTGTTCTGCAGGTGACGGTCCAGCCTTCACTGATGTCTTCAGCTGGAACCTGTCTTTAACTGGCAGAATGTTTGAAAGGAAGCACAAAGTTGGGAGGTCTACTCCGGAGATCAGGCTTAGAGGCTTAAAAGCTGCCTGAAACATTTGTTTTGTTCCTGCAAACTGTGTTTGCTACTGCATGCTCATAGAGTAGAATGATGATTTGACAAGGATCTTTAAAAATTTGCTAATAAACACATGATAATTAAATTCTGCTTGGAGAGAAGAACATAAAGAGCACCCTGAAGTAATTTAATTTCTTTTGGTGGATGCAGTGTGTAAGAGAATAAAATTGCATTAATTTCCTTTGCATATAGAAGACATTTCTTTTCTGCCATAGAATCACAGAATCATTTGGGTTGGAAAAGACCTTTAAGCCGTGGTAGTTCTTAAACTTGAACTCGGTACTCGGGATGGCTGAGCTTGGAAGCTAGGGCTACATGGCTAACATTAATTGTTATTTGCACTAATTACATCTGTGTTACTGCTCAGTTTGCCTGAGGTTTTTCTCTATCAACTGCTCTCTCTCCCTTGCTGCTTCTCCTTGACAAGTTCTTCCAGTGCACTTACTGCTGCTGGTGTCCCTGCATTGTGCACGCCACCTTCCCTGCCCTCCTGCCTCGTCCTGTCCGTTGTGTCAGCAGCTAAACTGAGCTCCCTGCACAAGGACCCCGTCTCCTGCGGGGTCCCACAGGTGAGAAACGTGGCCAGGAGCGGCAGGCCGGGCTTTGGGTCATCCACACCCCTCACAGGAGGATCCAGCATTTCTCTGGTACAAACTTTTCTCCCTGTCCCCGTGGACTGGTGTAGCGTTGCAGCTGCATTACTGCTTCTGTATGGGCCAAGGTTACGTTAAGAGGACCTACAAAGCCAATTTCAGAAGAGTTCGGTTCTGTAATGGGGCACGTACTGGTGAGGTTGCACAGACCTCTGGCAGCCAGAACCGTGATGTGAAGGGTCGCTTCAAATTTTTAGTCTTGGGAGCTGCTGTACCATCTTCAGAGACCAAATGAGTCATTTGCTTCCAGAAGTGAGGCTCCCCTGACTCCTGCCACTTTTCACAGTGAGATCCGTTCGTAGAAACTTTGTCATCGTAGAAGTGTGAGTTCCTGTCGGGTGTATCTTTTGTCCTTTCGGTCTTGGCAAGAAATCTTTCCGTCAGTGGAGCTTTCCTCAGCAGAGATTGCTTTCTGGCACTGACGTCTTGTAGCCATGAGCGAGGTTTGTGCTCATCCAAGGAGGTGTGTGACTGTATGATAGAAAGGGGGTGCCATCCCATTCTGGACCATATAGTCCACATAACGGAATATCTCGGCAGCAGGCTGTGAGCGTTGTGTACTTCTGCAATCCATAAATTCAGGTTTCTACACATTGAGCCTATGTTGTTCTTCCTTGGACGCCTGTGGGTACCCACCTGCATTGTAGCTGATGAAGGCGACACGACCAGTGTCCTGTGTGTCCTCACGCTCTTACGGACCTGGTAGCAACTCGGTTTGGGCTGCACGCCTCTGTTGTGCCATCGCCAAGAGTCGTTTCGCTCGCCCCGAGGCAAGGTGAAAGACCGAGGCTGGGGTTTGAAATGCTGTGTCCATCCTCGTGCCTGCTGCTCCCTCCGTAATCTCGGTGAGACGAGCTAAGACATTTTTGTCAGGAACAGCTGGAGGAGGATGGAGTGGTTCTGGCTGCCTTCCTGCAGCCTGACGTTGTGTCAGAAATCGAGCTGCCTGCTGTGGAAGAACGCTGTCTGCCTCGACAGCAAGAGGCTCCGTGCATGTAAATTAAAACAGCTGGACTTGCAAACTGGCATTTGCAGGTCCTTCAGTCCTGCAGTTCCGTTCACCCATGGAATAAGCGTGAGGCTGTCTGCTCTTTGGAGCTTGGTCATTGTAGAATCATAGAGTGGTTTGGGTTGGAAGGGACCTTAAAGATCATCTCGTTCCAACCTCCCTGCCCGTGGGCTGAGGCACCTCCCACCAGCCCAGGTTGCTCAGAGCTTCATCCAGCCTGGTCTTGGACACTTCCAGGAATGAGGCATCTGCACCTTCTCTGGGCAACCTGTGCCAGTGGCTCAGCACCCTCAGAGTAAAGAGCTTCTTCCTAATGTCTGATCTAAGTCTACCCATTTAAAAACCATTGCCCCTCGTCCTGTCACTACACACCCGTGTAAACAGTCCCTCCCCAGCTTTCCTGTAGCCCCTTCAGGCACTGGGAGGCCACTGTAAGGTCTCCCCAGAACTTCTCTTCTCCAATCTGAACAGCCCCAACTCTGGGACTGTCCTCGCAGGAGGGGTGCTCCAGCCCTCTGAGCATCTTTGTCACCTCCTCTGGACTCGCCCTCTCCAACACCCCCGTGTCCTCCCTGTGCTGGGGGCTCCGGAGCTGGGCGCAGTGCTCCTCTGGAGCTTCCCTTTTCCTAATCTGCATTATTGGGCAGCTAATTCGAACTATCTCAGATGAGGTTGGCAGTGCAGGGGTGTTACAGGGGCATGAAAGCAACATTTAGGTGTGAAAGGAGGGAGGGTACTTTGGTAAAGGCCCTGGGGTTGTGCCCTTCTCAGCTGATGGGTCATCCTCGAAATCACTAAGTAAGATCTCACCATCCCATCTCCAAGCGATTTGCAGCACTTGGGAAGAACTGTTAAGCAGGAAGGGTGCAAGTAGATAGAGCTCAAAGACAATTTGGTTTTTTTTTCCTTTTTCAGATAAGATTTAAGTATATTTAGGGCAAAAAGAATAAGCCTAATACTCAGCCATAACCAAAAAAAACCAGCCTGTGGGCTTTGTACAGGCCCTTGTGGAAAAGTGTCTGAGCTTAGGGAGGCGCTGGAGCTCAAACCAGTGGAATGACTGGTCGTTGTCTTTTGCCTGACTGGGAGTCTGAAGGTTGTTTTTGAAAATCTGAGTGATGTAGCGCAACTCTTGCAGGAACTTCGCTCTCTACCATTTGGCCAGCAGCTTCACTGCTTTGTCTGAAATGTTTGTGGCTTATGGGGAATTGGTTGAGTTTTATGACTTTGCCCACAGTCGTCTCATGAGTAAAAGGGAGGGAACTTTGCAAATATTGTTACGATGGGGTCTGTGTTGTCTCGGGGGTACTTTAAAGGAGATTTTATTGAAAAAAAAAAACCAAACAAGAGGGGGGCTAAAACTTCTGGCCGTGGTCCAAAGCTCACCTCTCACCTTAATGAACCAGCTTAATTACGTGGTCAAGTGCGGTGCGGGATCCTGTTCTATAAGGGGAGTTATTAATTATCTGTAGCCTGAGGGATGTGCTGAAACATGACCAAAAAATACTACTTGGTCTTGACTGATGTGAAATTTCCAAAGCTGTAGCACAGAGAGGCTTGTTTTGGGGAGGAGAACGATATAAATAATATGTAATAAATAGCTTTTCTTGAGTAACATCTCTGGAAAATAAAAACGGGGTAGGAGGAGGCCTGGGTTATGTGTCTGGAGAGTCAGGGTGGTGCAAAACTAGTTATATCCTCGGAGTGGAGGCTCCTACAAGTACAATACGCCGTGAGTGGGGGTTTTGTGCCGCAGACTGCTCTTTGCTCTCATCCTGACAGCGATGGGCCGTTTGTGACTGGCAAATTCGGGCTGATTTGGCCACCACCAGTTCGTTTCGGGTGGCAGACCGGTTGATCACAGAAGGCGGGTGCTGGGTAACATTCACTGACTGAGCTTCCGATGCATGATCCATAACCAGGGGTGGGATCAAACTGAATATTGGGTTATTTATCCTGTCTAGTTACAAAATACCTGCTGCCTGTGTGGTTTATGTGAGATTTTAGCTGTTGCACAGGGTATAATGTACCTGTTCCTCTAAACTGGTGTGTTCTGCTGACTCCCTTCTTCTGAAACTGGAGTCTCCCTGGCTGGAGAAATATAAATCTCTCCTGGACCTACTATGTGAGAACTCTGCCGTGCCGGACGTAATACCCTCACCCATGAGCCCAGTGCAGTTTTACTTTGGAATTTTGGACAAAATGCTGATGAAACAGCGTTAGGACAAGAACCATGACCTGGCTTGGCTTCTGCTGGCTAAGAATGGTACCAGTTCAGGATTTGTGGGATATTATTTTATTTTTTTTTTTTACATGATTTTCATTCAGTTCATCCTGGAATGGTTCTTGTATACATCATTGTCTTCTCCTGTCGGGCTTCCCAGAAATGGAAGCTTGAGAATCTGGTGCACCAAGGAGGTAAAATCCTTGGAATTTTGTTTGTTGACAATCCACGGATTCTTTTTGCAGGTGAAAAAGGAATTGGCAAAACAACTGGCAAGAAGCTGTGCTACAAAGGCACTACGTTCCATCGCGTGGTCAAAAACTTCATGATTCAGGGTGGGGACTTCAGCGAAGGTAAAACAACACTTTCAAAACTGAAATGCTTTAAATGGAGCAGGGATGTTACGACTTGTGTGGTGACGCAGTATTGCAGTGCCATAAAAGCACTTCATTTGCGGTGAAGGATACCACAGATCACCTGTTTCTTCGTTTTTGAAATTCTGAAATGTTTCAAGCAAATTAGCGGGGTTTTTTTCGAAGAATGTGTTAAATGAAGGAAGGAAAAAAAACTTGCTGGAGCTGAAAACACCTATCTTGTTAAAAAAATTCAAAATCATACTGTAGTCTTAGTGCTTTTCACTTTTGTGTTTGCAGTAGAGGCAACTCTAGTGACATTTAATCAATACAGGGATGTAACTGAGTAAATTTAAAAAAAATAATAAAGTAGTAAACGATCTAGAAGTGCTTAATAGCGAAGTGTCTAAAGAAGATTTTCCAGGAGTTTCTTTGTTTCCTCCCGTGCATTGTGTACAACATCATGTTTTAACCTGTTGTCCTTCCCTGAAATAATGTTTTTACCAAAATGATTTGTCTTCTGCGCCATGTCCTGAAACCCTGTACCCGATTAAATGGGAGAGGTGAAGGAATATCTCGTTTCGAGAGTCAAGCAGAAGCAAGGATGCCTTTAAAACCTCTTGCTGCTTTTTCTCATCTGTTCTCGTGGCCTCTCCACTGCTTTGAGCCAGGAAAGATTGTTGGTTGTACCTACTCATGTCTTTTTTTGCTGTTTTTTTTCCTCTCTGCTGCTGCTTTAGCAAATACCAGTGAGGATTAGCCTTTGGAGCCCTACCTCAGCCTTTGCAGTGTTCGGAGGCACTAAGGCCATCTTCGGCCTCGGTGTTTTGGGGGTCAGGATACTGCACGGCTCTGGCTTTTTTTTAAATAAGGAGCTTGTGCTCAGATACGAGTGACTGGCCTGAGTATCCTGGTTTGTTATGAAGTGGTGGAATGTTAATACAGCATTTTTTTCATAAAGGAGACAAAAGGTTTAATTCAGTCTTTTTAACACGTAGGTAATGGAAAAGGAGGCGAATCTATTTACGGTGGCTATTTTAAAGGTAAGAGGAGATACGGCTTTGCCGATTCTTTATTCAGTTCTGAGATAAACAAGTCTTGATTCCCAAGCTACTTAATGAAAACAGGTCTACTTATAGATCACCTTTTGCATGAAACTAATGTTGCATGAGAATTCTTTTTATATGCATGACTTTCAGATAATTATTTAATTTTTTTTTAATAATATTTAACTTTAACTGACAATTAATTAAGGCTAACATTATTGGTTAAACGTGACTTTCAGCATGGAGGTTAGGCAACTTTATTCATGAATAAACTCCTATCTTCCTGCCTAAAACTGTCAACATATTCTTTTGTTTATAGAGAATGTGGTCTTTTGCAAAATGAAAAGGTAAGAGACAAAAGCTCAGTAACACAAATTCAAACTCTGTTCCCTTGTACCCTCCCTAGTAAATATATAGAGAACTGATAGGTCCGTTTGTAGATGGATTTCTGTGTTGCTCGGAGAAATGAAGAGTTCTGTGTCTGACCTTTCTGAGGGTTAGTGACTCATTCTGAGAAACAATACTGGTGTAATTTCCAGCTCTAAACCATTATTTCTTCTCTTGTTAATGCCCCTTTCCTCCCTTTCCCTAGTCAAGGTTTGTACGCTTAGTACTGGTTTCTTACAAGTTTGCTTATATGCTGCACAAGTTATTTTTACTTGCGATGAGTTTGTAAATAAACGTGCATTTACCTCCTTTAAAAAAACCCCACAAACTGTTGTTGGAAGGAAAATGGTGAGTTTATAAAGTATTCATTTAAAAACATATCGTTCCTTCTTGGAAGAAACACCCCACAACAAACAGGTAGTTGCACTGGTTTTCGAGTGTTAATAAAGGCACTAATTTTTTTATTATTATTATTATTTTATTTTTATGTAAAAGCCCCTGGTTCTGTATATTTTGCAAGTAGCTCGGCGTGGTTAAGTGCATGCTGTTCAGCTTGTCTTAAACAGAGCCGGGGTTGGTGTTGCAGAATTACAACCTTTAGTGCAAGGAAACTCTTGACTTGGATCCATTTGCAAGGAAGTTCCTCGGGCTTGTTTCTAAAGGCGCTGAGGGCTAAACACACAGCCTTAAAGATAACACCTCTGTACACTCACAGGACTGGTTTTAGCTTTGAAAATGAACTCCAGAAGGTCTGGGTTGGTATTATGCCGTACAACCCGAACTCCTCTTGAATTCAGCGCCATATAAAAATGCGTGTTGAGTTGTCTCTAATTGATTTTATACTTGGGAAGAACATGGTTTGTCTCTCATTCAGGTGTCTAGGGTCTGGGTTTTGTCCCCCCTTGTACATTCTGAGATTTCCCATTTGGAATGGATAGTGGTTATTGAAGGCACTAATACTGACTTTAATTTTTTTTTGTTAGAAATGTTCGCACTATATTTGAAACTTTTTTTCTTTAAGAATACTTTCTATCTCCTAACTGCTTCTATGGTAACTTTTGAGAGGCTTATTTCAACTTGATTTTTGGTTTTTTGGTTTTTTTTCCAACCTGTTCATGTTTCTCCAGCAGCGGCAGAATCTCTTCTTAGAGCATCCATAACTTACTAAGAAACTTAGACTTAACGTTCCTCGCCAGGGAAAAAAAAAAAAATCTGACGGACGTATTTTTTCTTCAAACAGATGAAAACTTTATTCTCAAACATGACAGAGCGTTCCTTTTGTCAATGGCAAACCGAGGGAAACATACCAATGGTTCCCAATTTTTCATGTGAGTAGATGTCACGCGCCAGTTGAGCTTTTCTTGAGCAGAGAAGCGCTGTTCATGAGAAAGATGGTGTTGCTGGGGGATTTCTAACCGGGTTATCCGCCTGCTGTTAAGGAGGGGAGAGCGGGGACCTGCAGGGGCAGCTGTGGTAGGAAACGTTTGGCTTTAGAAGCTGCTGATACAGGGATGGGCCTCGTTCGTTGCTTTTTACCCGAAAAATTCGGCTTCTGAGCGGCCACACAACAATTTTGTTGGTTTTGTGTGTGCACCGACCTAATCTTAACCAGACCATCCGCAAAGTGTGACGCCAAGCGTTGCGTGTGGAAGGGAGGGAGCTGGAGAGGTGCCCTGTATGGTTTTGCATGTGCTTTTTAAAATGTGATATTTTACCTTTTAGTATGGGGAGTGGGGTTGGTCTTTTTTTTTCCCTTGGGAAAGGATGGGCTGGGATTTGTATTATTTTGTATTTGTGTGTTGTTTTGGAGATGCATTTTTTTTTCAATATTTCTTTATTTTGGAGTGTTTGTTTCCTGCCATGCTTTTCTTCTGTATTGCTGCATAATTCTCTTTACTTGTGCATATGCCAACTACTTTGCTACCAACACTATTTGAAATTATGTGTTGATAGTCAAACTTCTTTTTTTCTTCATTGCCTTAAAAAATTATAATTTAATTCTAATATGTAGCCATATTGTCTTAAATTGTAAAAAACACATGACCACCATCAATAAATATTAGGTCTGATAGGTCAGGGTCTTATGGTTAAAGTAATTATATTCTAGGTTCAGTATTAGTATTTTTAAACTTGCTAGTTTTCATGTGATTGTTCCTCCTGTTAAGTCCCTTCTAAAAAATTGTCACCTATCAAGCAGTTTGTATTCGGAAAAATCTAGATCATAACTTTGGGCTTGTGCTGAGCAGAACTTTGTGAAATCACACCGGTGTTTCCAAAAGGGAATTTTAGTGTAGTTACTTAACGAGAAAAGCTCTTTCTTCTTTGCCATCTTTCTTGGGGGATAAGAATGAATGGCGCTTCACTGGCTTCAGGAAAGGAGTAAACTGTCCTCAAGATTCTTATTTTCTTTGCCTGAAAAAAATCTTCGCTCTGATACCATGAAGTTCAGATAAGAGACATTCGTAGGTCTCTTCCTAAAGAATGCCCTAAAAATGGAAAATTAATAGGAACCTGGCAGGAAGCCTTTCACCTCTTTTGACTTTCTGTGGAGATAAAATCATGTCAGAAGCTTGGTTTTGGTTTCCTTCAAACCGAATTTTAGATCTTGTGCTTCCTTACACATGTGCACATGTATGTGTACATATTAATATGGAAAATGTCTATATCTAAAAAACCCCTGTGGCTTAGGAAGGTCCCTAAAAGACATTGGTTCCCTCTTTACTACTTGGTGACTTATCTTTTTGGTTCTCTTTGTCGTAATTTTCCATTTTTAAGCTTATCTGAACACTACACGTGGAAACTTAATGATGTCACATCAGTCCAGAAGCTGTCATTTGAGGGCTCTAAAGTTTCTTTTTCCCTTCCTGCATTTGATTCGGAAGTCGTCTTCTTTTTCCTTACGCTTAGTCAAGAGATCACTTGTCGAATTAGATTGACCAAACACCTTGTTTCTCCCCGCACGCTGAAACACCCAAAGGTTGTGTCAGATGCTAAATTCTAACGTAAAACGAACAGAATCTGCAGAAGCTGCTGGGGCTGCTCGTAAAGGTGTGTGGGGACAATTGCAGTCAGCTCCAAAGTCAGGTTCGTGGTTGATTAACTCGAGTTGCAAGTGGGTCAGGATGGATGCTGAAATCTGCAACACTGTAAAGCAGGTGGACTTGGGTGGTGACATTTGCCTGGTTACTTCAGAGAACGCGCTCCGCATCCGCACAGCTTTGCTTTCAGAAGGTGTTTGCTTCCTTTAGGGGTAGACTTGAAGCCGAGTTTAAAATGTGTGTCAAAAGAAAGCTCGGTTATTCCGTAGTTTATTAATAGGGAAAGTGTTCTTCAGACATATAACCTGAAGACCGTGTGGAAGGCGCTCTGCAGTGGCAGCCCGTAGATCTTTTTAATGGTGTGAACGTGTTTAATTTCATTGATTTAGATTTATAGCAAGGGAGACAGTTCATCTCCAACGGAACTGCTTTAGACTTCCGTTTCTATTTTTGTTCCACAGATAACTTCAGGGATGAGAACTCCGTTTCTCTCTGGTACACATCTAACGTGACAGATAAGGAGTGCAAATAAGTTATCTTCTTTTTTATAAGTATTTGTCAAAGTAGGGCTAAAATAATAGCAAGAATCCTGACTCTAACAGTTCTGCTTATTCCTCAGAAGTGCTCTCCCTGCTCGTGACAGAAAAACGTCACTTGGAATAACCAGTCGCTACAGAAAGGGATTGGGCAGTGCCTGAAAATTGTTAAAAGCTGAGCTACAGTGGCCATTTTTACTTGAAATAGAAGCTCCAGATGAATCTGGATGTAAGGAAGAATCTGCCAGATCCTGAGGTGTGGTTAACTTTCGTTGATTCCTCAGGAGTTTCTCTGGCGTGGGTGAGCTTGAAGCCTTTGTAAGCAGCGATAGAGAACTGGGCGTGGACAAGCCAGGCTTAGTGTCTAGGTTTAGACTAGACACGAGGAAGAAGTTCTTCATGGAAATGGGAACAGTTCTTCATGGGATGTTGGAACAGGCTGCTCAGGGAGGTGGTTGAGTCGCCATCCCTGGATGTGTTTAAGCATCGCTTGGATGTGGTGTTGGGTGATATGGTTTAGGGGTGAACTTGCAGTGTAGGGTTAATGGTTGGACACGATGATCCCAAGGGTCTTTTCCAACCTGGATGATTCTGTGATTCTGTGAAGTGCTCTCGGGAAGCTCCAGGGAGAGGCCAGTGTGAAAAGAATGGACATAAGTTGAAGGCAAAGTAGAATGAAGAGTTAGAAGTGTGTGGAGCTATAGATGTGGATATGGAGGTACAGATGTATGTGTGCAGAGGTGCTGTCCTTTAATACTTGTTTGCTGATTTTCCCCGCTTTTTTTCGTACTTGAATAGGAGCAACAGCTGGGTTGAAAGCTGAACGTTTAGCTAAGGAAGGCTTATGTTTTTCATGCTTCTGGATTTTAAACAGGCTCAGACTGTTCACACAGGTGTGGGAGAAACATTTCCTAGTCTGAAGACATGCATCTTGTTGATATTGAGACCATCCCTTTGCAGTCTTTGGATTTGTGAAACGTTGGAATCTCCACTTTCTTTACCCAGAGAGAAGCTGATGTAGCATTTTACTGCACACTTGTGTTGAAGATAGTCGTAAGGCGCCAGGTTAGGGATTGGCTCTTTGTGTTTCTGGATAGCGCCGCTGTTTCATTGGATCCTTTTCAGTTAATAACTTCTAGAACCATCAGTTGTAAACACCACCTGAGTGGGTTAATCTCCCTTCATTTGTCCTGTTTGTGTGGTGACACTCGGATAATCCCTAGGATGGGGTAGAAGTTGACAGGAGCAACCGCTCTACAATCATCTTCCTATTTACCTCCCCCAATACCTGTTTTGAAAGAAAGACCCTTATTACCATTAGTTACTGGGGGAGCACATCTAGAGCGTTGCACGGACAGACCTGATGCCTTTAGGTCCCTCATTTAGAGTTGGGGGGTGAATACTTGGCCTCTTCTTGGACGTTCCAGCTCGGTGGCCGTCCTGCCTGTTGGGTGATGTTCCTCTGGAGCTCAAGCCAAGCTGGTGACGGTATCTTGTTTGCTTCAGAGCATCTCACATCGTGCACAGGTCCTGCTAGTGAGGAAAGTTGCCAGACGAAATAAGGGCAGCTCTTGCGAAAACAAGTCTATAAAGTAGTGAAAAAAAAAATAAATTAATGAGGCTCCTGAACCTACAGACGCTAGGGGAAAGTTGCCAGACGAAATAAGAGCCGCTCTTGCGAAAACAAGTCGATAAAGTAGTAAAAATAAAAAATAAAAATTAATGAGGCTCCTGAACCTACAGACGCTTGTGTGGGCTTCGCTTTGTTTCTGTCGTCACGCAAAACATGTCGAGCTGCGCTTGCTAGAAAAATAGAAGGGCCCTCCCTGCGCAGAGTGAAGCACAAAGAAAACAATAGGAGGCAAAAAAAGAAGTCTGTCATTTGTGTAATCATGAATTTATTGCCTTGTTGTTTAGTCTTGAGGAATACCTTCCTTATTTTACAGCATAAAGAGGAGTCCTAAGCTGAGTTCCTCATCGGTTCAAATGCTTGGAGTTCTTGTCTCTGTGTTCCAAAGCTGTTTACAGCTCAAAGCTATTTTGCTATTACTGCTAGATTTACCTTTTTTTTTCCCTGTGTTGAGGGTATTGTTGGTTTAACGTTTCTCTCAAGCTCTGCTTGCTCAAAACTACCTCGCTTGTTTTGTTTTTAAAAGGTTTTTAATGTGTGGTGCCATGTCTAGTTACTGAATTCAAGCTAACCTCTTTGATCTGCTGAGGGAGGCGTAATATAAACGGTGAGGACAAATGATTTCCGAATGTTACCAGCTTATTCAAAGTGGCTCATTTTAAGGCTTTTTGGTGTCCCAAACCAGGTATTTTTCTAAGCGACAGTTTATTTTTTTACTGCGAATGAAATACCTTTGACCGTAGCAATTAAACAGCCGACAGTGATATAAAAGTCTACAAATTTAATTTGAAAGGGGCTGGCGTTGCATTTTCTTTGGGCAAAAGTGGTATTGACACACTGAGCATGTCCCATTGGCTGGATCAAAAGTTAATTTAACGGGACGACCCGCGCAAAAGCATTCGCAGGAGGCTTTTGGGCGTAGTAAGTAACCAAAGGGATCGTTTCAACACTCGAATGCGCAGAAACATAATGAAGAGCTACGAGTTTGTTTGGGGGGAGGGGGAAAATGTGGGCAAGCTCAACTGAGAAAACATTTGTCAAATTATTGCTGCTGTTCAGAATTATACCGGCGCGAACGCGAGACATGGTTTGTCCGTTTTGCACCTTCGTTTTTCTCCACTTCTGAGCACGAGCAATCCAATACCAAGGCGTGTATTTTAGAGAAAGCACAGTTTTCCTTCGTTTTAGAAGAGCTTCCTAATAAAGGAAGGTGTCAGCTAATAAGGAAACATGAAGTTAGAGTATTTCATGGGTAAATTGAAATTTTGAGGCGATGGGGTGCCCCCCTGAGAAATACGTGCTTAGGACTGGGGCTGGTAGAGCATTGGGACGCCTCTGTAGCTGCAAGCAGGTGGATAAACCCGTTGAAGTGACTTATTCACCTGCTTCGAGTTGTGCCCATGTCCTAACGCTTGGGCTGGATTTGATACTTCAAGGGGAGCGGGCGGATTCTCTTTTGTAACCTTGTAGTAGTGTAAGCGAGTAAGTGTAGGCTTCTTGTTGATTTGAAGGAGAACTCGCTGTAGTTTTTCAAAGTGCCTTGTATTCTAAAGAAAATTTAGAGCCCTCTTTTAGGCATCCTCGTTCTGCATACGAACTTGATTTAATATTAATTTTAAAACTTGTATTTAATAAAAACGTAGACTCAGTTTTGTCTGAAAATGTATTACAATTTATTTCTGCCGTTTTTGTGTAAAATTTACAGAAACAGTGTTACATCGTGCGCTCCAAAGGTAATGTCTTATTCCTCTAAGGCTGTGTCCTTTCCTTTTTTCTTCTCACTGTTTATATCTTTCTTGTTTTTTTCTGATCATATTGTTATGTGCATTGAAACCTTTGTTAGGCCTGAGGTTCTTGGGGGTGGGCGGGTGATAATGTGCTTTTACCAAAAAGATGCTTTTTCTCCTCAGCAGTATCTTAAAACAATTTATTTTAACCTTGAGCCAAGAAAGTTCTTTGTCCTGTAAATAACTTGGATAATAGTCTATATTATAAGGGAGATTTTGAATGTTTAAAACGCGTAAAAGTTCTATATAAAGTGTTTTAACAAAATGCTATTTTGGAGGGAGGAACTCATCAGGACTCTGGGTTTCTGTGGTGCAGAGGCAGTAAGTAGGTTCTCTCCTGGTTAAATTTTGAAGCTAAAGCAAATGTGGAAGGATTGAAAGGCAGAACAGTGACACAGAAAACTTTTTGAACGGGTTTTTTCTTTTTTTAACGGGCACTTTTGCAGAAAAACCATCACGACTTCCAAAAGCCCAATGAGGAGTTGACTTTCTGCTTCCCGTGAAGCCCGTTCAGCCACCAAACTCCTTGTCATGAAAACTTCCCTTAGAAATAGCGCTTTTCCCTTCGTTCCTTTCTTGTGAACAAGAGAAATGAGAGAAACCCCGTCCGCTTGATCCATCACCTTGTCGGTGTAACCAACGAAACCTCGGTGTGGGTTTAGACGTGCCGAGTGGCCCTTTCCTCGCTTTCTTGAGGACTAATCTGAAAAAATAAAATAAAATCCGTGCTTGGATAATGTGCTGAATTATTTTCCACGAGCCGCTGCTGCCTGGCACGTTGCTCCAGCGTTCACACCATCTGGGTTTGAGCCTTTCTAGCAAATTCTAAGCACTAAGTCTTGTGCATTAGTGGTTTCATTCAAGTATCCCACTTCTGGGTTTTTTTAGTTGTTTATTTTTTTTCGCTACCTTAAATCAGTTTTATAGTTAAGCCCGTTTAAACTTAACAGCAGATGAGCACAGTTAACTTTTGCTTCAGGAGCTTGGGAAGCTCTAAGAATTTTTAGGTTTGTAGCAACGTGCCGTGTTGGCAGGGAAAAACCAAAAGAACACCCCCTGCTATTGAGAAATTAAATGTCATCTCGATAGCACTGCTTTCCCTTTGGTGTTAAAACAGAGACATTTTCTGTGTCATTTAGTTTTAGAGAAGTGGAAGGGCTGGTTGGCATTTGGAGCTTAAAAAAATAAAAATTAAGAGTTTAAACGCTCTCGATTCGCAGCTCCATCTTTTGGCACGCGTTCCAGCACTGCGGTGCCCTAATAGTTCAAAACTGCTGCGCTTTAAAAAGTAATGTTTTATTATAGCAGAGAAAAACTGACTTCATTGGACTGGTTCTGTGCTATTACAAATTTAGAAAAAGCATCTGTGATAATTTATTTTGAGAGGAGTTCATTGGAAGAATGAAAGGCAATATAGTGCCTGTGCAGGCTAGAGGAAGAATATTTCCAAATTATTAAAATAACTTCAAATGCAAATTAGCTTGACTTTTTTTTCCCTCCTTCCCCAATCTATAAGATTAATGCACATTCTGACTTTACTGAATTTGTCTGCATAGTGAGGTTCCCCGTGCAACAAATAATTTCCTTTTTGGAAAAGGATAGAGAGAGATCCCAGGTCGTAGCATTATCATCCAAAAGGTGAAACTTAACATATAATTACCGACACACAGCCTCGAATATTCTGATCTGCAGCCACCCTGGGAAATCTGTCACTACTCCAAAAAAATAAACGCCTTTTGAGGCCGGCGTTGCCGCCTGCCACGCGGTTGCGTTTCTCCTTCAGGCTAGAAACCAGCTAAATACGAGGTGGGGGGAAAAAAAAAATTAGGGAGGAAACGTGCGTTTCTCCCGGCCAGGAAAGCCGCGGGGTCGTGCATCACGTCCGCTTGCATCGTGCTGCCGTTGGCTTTGGGAGCTTGCGAGCCGAAGCTTCCGCTTGACGGTTAAAGCTCGAAATCTTGGTTTGTCTTCGGAGTCATAAAGTAAACGGAGAGGAAAAAAAAAGTGAGGAGGGTGGGGGGAGGAAGCAAGGAATCTACCTCATCTGGTAACTTTTTTATTTTTTTATTTATTAAATAAACTGACTTTAACGTGACCTCGTAATGGAAGAACCTCACCCTTTCAGGAGCACTTAGGTTCCGTTAGTTTACCTGCTGTTCGTTGCCAAATTGTGTCTTCTCTGTGATTAGAAATGTTAGTGGGTTGTATTTGAATGTATATTTAAAGACGCTGCTTGGGGAGTTGTTTATTGCATGCATAAAGCAATATTTGTTACAGCTTTTAAGTACACGCAGTTAGCAAAATTTCAAACAAATTTCATGTAAAAGCTTAAAAAAGCCTGTGTGAATAAGCTGTAAAGTTTTCAAATTCCATGTAAGTAACTGGATTTTCTCATTTTTTTTGTCTTACCTTCACCTCTTTTTTTTTTTATTTGTGCTATTCTCCTCTTTACCTTCATCTGAATCCCTGATTTATTTATTTTATTTTATTTTATTTTTACTATCTTACCATCTTGCTGTTTGTCGAACAGAACAACAAAACCTGCTCCTCATCTCGATGGGTAAGAATCCTTTATATTTTCTCCAATGATGACTAAAATTTGAAGGTTTTAATTCTTCACCTGTTAAGACAGCAATGGAGAAACCAATTTTTAATTCCGTGGAAAATTATACAATAGAATGAGATGGAACCAAAAAGTTTCAGTTCTAGAAAAAATTTCAGGTTCTGACTTATTTCCTAAAGCTGGTTGAAAACTTGGAAGCTCTTATCTACTGATGTAATTTCTTTAAAACTTGTGGCTGCCCTCAGCCCATAAATCAGGGAATTGAAATGTCAAGTTTGATCTAGTTGGATAGTCCTCTCTTTCGTACCATGTTTTTATCCCCAAAATATATATGAAAATATAATTTACGGGGCAAACGGCAGAAGGAAAGAGAGAGGTGGGGATTCCTTAGTTATAATTATCCCCACAGTGCCGGTGGGAATTTGTGTGCTACGGTTGGATAGACCTAGAAATGCTGCTTTTTTGGGGAGAACTGCACTTCTTCATCGCCTTTATGTATGGACTTTTGACCTTGGTGTTGCATGAAATTTCAAAAATAGAAGGAGAGATGAGAAATAATGATCTGGTTACCCCTGCCCGTGTAGGAGAGAGTAGAATTGACATCAAGGATTTCCCACAGTTTGAACTGGAGTGGGCACACTGCAGAAAGTCTTAGCATTGTTGTAAATTAAAAGTAATAAAAGTGTTATTTTTAAGTTGAGTGCATTTTTAAGAGCTCAACGTTTCTATTCCAAAATGACTTGTTAAATCTGAAACTCATTGCAAGGTAATTTACAGCAAAATAAGTTTGTACTTAACCAGGTGTTTTGTTTCTGCAGCGTACACGTTGTCTTTGGCCTGGTTATTTCTGGTTTTGAAGTAATAGAACAAATAGAAAATCTGAAAACTGATACGGCCAGTAGGCCCTACGCAGACGTCCGAGTGATCGACTGTGGGGTGCTGGTTACGAAATCAGCAAAAGATGGTGAGCACACGGGTACCTGAAGCTAATTGAATGTTGGCATCGTTTTCAGGGAGTGTAAAAACCTCACCGGTGTCTACAAACCCTTATGGTGAATCTCCGGAATCCTAATTAATTCTTACAAGCCTTTAAAATGTAAATCTTGGTGTAGATGAGGAAGGTGCAGCGAGGGAAAAGGTTTTCTCACCTAAACCTTTGTGCCTTGGAAAATGTATGCCTGCTTGCCATTATCCTTAATTAATGGTTGAGGTTAATGTGACACACTCAAAAAGTGATTAGAACTCATTTTTCTGAGCTTGAGAGGTGGAGACACAAGCATATGCTTGTCTTGAAGTTGAGTTTTGTGCCGTTTCCAAAGGTTTATTTTAAGATCATGTGACGTTAATGCGTGTGGTACATGTAGGCAGCATCATTTCTCCTTCTCATGAGAATTCCTGGGGAATAAATTATCTTGAATACATGGTTGGACAGTTGCTATAAAGTATCAGTGTTAAAAGTTTCTGCTTTCTAAAATACTTGGTTGGACAATTGCTATGAAGTATCAGTGTTAAAAGTTTCTGCTTTCTACTTCACTTTTGATTCCCTAAGGATGAGGTGGTTATTTATGCTTTCTCGGGAGTCAAGAGGATAAATAATGTAAAAGTATAAGGATGCAGAAAGGAGAGAATGACAAAGTTTCCTTCCCTAAGAATGAGGTGGTTATTTATGCCCTTTCTCGGGAGTCAAGGGGATAAACAATGTAAAAGTATCAGGATGCAGAAAGGAGAGAATGACAAAGTTTCAGACTTCCACTGACTACTTCTTAAGCTTTGTTCTGTGCTTTGCTTTCTGAAAAAACTCTCTTTTTTAATTCTTTTTTTTTTTGCTCTAAATGGTCTTTGCTTATCTGAGTATTCCATTCTACCCCAAAGGTGTGAACTCAGGGGTTGTAACATAAAATTCATTTTTCAAAGCAGAAAAGTAGGGGAACCCTCCTTCTTCAAATCTTATTTATTCCTCAGCCTTTTCTTATATTAGTTTGGCACAAATTAATGTTACATGGTGAGCTTACACCTTAAGTTTATTAATCTAAACAAGTGTTGCCTTTGCAGTGATATGTCTTATATGGTAGAAGTTGTGTGTAGAAGTTCTTAACTTCGTAGCAGCTAAAGGAATTTTTTTACATCTGTTTTTGGAGAATATCTGTCTTTTTGTCAGTATGGCTTTAGGCTGGAAGCAATTATATGACTTTATTATTGCACTTGAATGCAACTCTGCGAGAAGAGTTCACAGAACTCCTCTGAAGCAGTCCACGGGTGTATTTATGCGCATATAAAATTGTGTATTTTGTGTTGTATGAGTGCACACTGCCCACTGTCAATCTAAAATATCTGTTTTAAGCTTTAGAGAAGAAGAAGAAAGTGTGTTCAGACTCAGAAGCTTCAGACTCCTCCTCCAGTGCGTCAAGCTCTTCAGAAAGTTCGTCTGAAAGCGAAGCTGAAAATGAACGAAGCAGGAGAAGGAAGCGTAAGAGGAGAGCTAAAACCAAACAATCGAGAAAGCGAAGAAAGGAAGAGAGGAAGAAAGAGGATCCAAGGTGCAAACGAGCCTCAAACCAAAGACGGTGACTAGTCTCTTTAACAATTTCAGAGAAACCTGAGAAACTCTCCTCGTTTTCATGAAGTGCTCAAGCAATGACTGTGCAAATGCTTTTACTTAAGTTTCAGTTTTCGTGCTTGATTTTTACAAACAAACAAAAACCACCAAACAGGAAAAACCCTAAAACTGAGCTTGTTGAGTAGATTTTCTTGTGAAAGAGTTTAAGGTTTTTGTAGCTAGAGCAGCTTTGAAAGGAGCAGGTCTCAGCATGTTAAAGTGTTTGAGACTCAATATACCTGTGTTCAAGTGAGGCGTTGGGCAAATGATAGATCTTTCTATATTTTTTGAAAATATTTCATAACAAATGGCAAGTTAAAAGCAAAATGATTTGCTGTCAAGCAGGAACTGAACCTTCTTTCCAGTAATAATATGCTTTAGCATAGAGTGGGTTGTTAATGAGACACGTTCTGCTCGTTAAGCCATCCTGAAGTTTGATTCGTCATATTTTGGAATTTGCTCTCACAAGTGGTGTTTATCACAAATAAAAAAACCCTGTCAGCAGTTAATTTTGATCTGTCGCCTTTTCCCCCGTAGCAGCCTTTCTGACAAGAGCGATCTAACAGAAAAAGCGAGCGATGTTTGCATGAAGAGGGACAAACCCGTGGTACGTCCTGAAGAAATACCCCCAGTGCCTGAAAATAGATTTTTACTAAGAAGAGATGTGCCTGTTGTCAATGTAGAACCTGAACCGTAAGGAACATTGAGCTTTCTTTTTCGTGTTGACTCGGTGGAAGCTATTCATAAAATTTGCCTGCTAACATTCTGTTCCTAGGGTCAGAATTCCTGAAGGAGTGATTGAATTGTCCTTTTTACCGTTTGCTTTGTAACATTCCCTACCACCCGTGTCAAGGGTTCTCCAGCGAGATCTAATGAGTTACCTTTATTGGTCCAACCTTAAACTCATTTGCAGATGATAATAAAACCCAAGTTTATAATTTCAGAAGTGCAAACCGCAGCAAGTACTGGATTGCAAGGAAAACTTGGGATTGGGAGAGGTGATTTTTTTTCATCTTGCTTAGACTGAAGGAGAAACAGGTTCAAAATCAGTCAACCAGAATTTTAGGACCCATTTATAACTTTGGAAAAGAGGGGAAAATACTCCTCTCGATGCAAAGGAAGTCGTGAATTGACAAGTTGCTTTCAATTTGTGTTTTGCACCTCTACTAAATTGCATTTCAATCAGATTTCTTTGCTCTTGGATTCTGATGAGCTAATACATTATGTTGCCAGATATCTCTAGAAATCAGGGGGTTTTTTTAAATTTCAGTTAATGGCGTAGTCTCCTGTAAGCCTTTGTGTGAAACACGATTTTACTCATGGTTCCAAAGCTCTAGTAACTGCTTCTTTGGAGGATATTACCCAGACTGTAAAAAGGAGCTGCTGAATTACCTCTCATTGCTTAGGAAAGAATCAAGGATTTAAAACCTTTAAAAGCCATTCCGTGCGCTCAGATGTGTAATTGCTGAGATCCTGAAGCTCTTCTGTCCATATAGCGTCATGATTTGTGCCCCAGCTGTGGGTTAACCTCTTTAGGAAAGCCAGGTGCCACTTTTAACAGTGCTCTGCACGTTCATTTTAGCATTTTATTTACCCGCAGACAGGTCAGACTTCGCTCTGGATTGAAGACAAGGGTTTGCTGATTTGCCTTTTGTTGCAGAACTGTGCCTGTCTTGCTTTATTTCTTGGAGAATTCACTGGGTTTTTAGTTCTACCATATTCAAATGAATGAATAAGATGGACTTTTTTTGCATGATTAAAATTACTTTAGTTTAATTTTCCATCTAAGCTCATTTTTATTTTTTTTTTATTTTTTATAATTTATATAGGAAGCTTCTCGATACCACGCCGGTTCTGACTGACCAGAAACCATCAGTCTCTAAATCTGGACGGAAAATAAAAGGAAGGGGCACGATAGTATGTGACAATTATTTTACTTTTCTTTCTTTTCTTTCCTCTCACCCAGACTATCTTCTCAGACCTTGAGCTTTGAATTTCCCGGGAGGCTTTCTGGACGCTTTAACTATTGTTGATGTGTTGTAGATTCTAGCTTAGGAGCTTGAAATATTGTTGTGGAGTCATTCGTTTTATAATGAACTCTTGTTTTTAGCTTCATTCTTGTTGCTGTCCTTCTACTTAAAGGGAAAACAAATGCTTACTCCTTGGGTACAAGGAGTTACATCTACATCGCTTCTCCTCCCAAGTTCTGGCGTTTGATTCTTCAGTTGCTCGCGCATACGTGGCTGTGAAAACAACAGTTTTCATAGAATCATAGAACAATTCAGGTTGGAAAAGACCCTTGGGATTGAGTCCAACCATTGACCCTACACTACAAGTTCACCCCTAAACCATCTCACCCAACACCACATCTAAGAGACACTTGAACACATCCAGGGATGGCGACTCAACCCCCTCCCCAGGCAGTCTGTTCCAGGGTCTGACCACAACCATGAAGAATTTCTTCCCAATGTCCAGCCTAAACTTGCCCTGTTGCAACTTTCAACCATTCCCCCTGGCTCTGTCCCTAATTACCTGTGAGAAGAGACCAGCACCAATCTCTCTACAATGTCCTTTCAAGTAATTGTAGAGCGTGATGAGATCCCCCCTCAGCCTCCTCTTCGTCAAACTGAACAGACCCAGCTCCCTCAATCGCTCCTCATAAGGTCTGTTCTCCAGGCCCTTCACCAGCTTTGTTGCCCTCCTCTGCACTCGCTCCAACACCTTTTTTTGGTTTTGTTGGCAGCTTTGGCAGAATCCCATTGTTTGTTCAGCTTTAGGACATTTTTAAGTCGACCTTTCATTTTGGGGGGTTTTTTAGCTCATAAATATAATTTGTCAGATGTCATCAGCTCTTCTGGCTGCGATCCAGTCTGTGCCATGTCATAGATGACACTGCATGGGCAAGGAGTTACTTCTTTTTTACTAAGGTGCGAATGGTCTTTTTTTTTATTATTTTTTCCTGCCTTGCTCTCAGAAGACTGATGCTGTTTATTCCAGTTTTGTTGCTACTTCAGATCTTTGGTATCACAAAGACTTTTGCCGTAGCTCCCCTGCACTCAAGAAAAAGTTTTCTCTACTAACCCACAGTACAGTGCACAAAACACTGCGCTTGTTTTTCAGTCACTACAAGTCAGAAAGTCTTTTGCAATTGTGCATTTGAATCTGGTGCTTCAAATTGTCGCATATTTTTCATAGAATGTCTTAGATGAAGGGACCCTAAAGATCACCTAATCCAACCTCGCTTAACTATGTCGGGTTGCTCAAGGTCTCGTCCAACCTGGCCTTGAACATCTCCAGGGAGGGGGCAGCCACAACCTCTCTGGGCAATCTCTTCCAGAGTCCTGCCACCCTCGTACTGAAGAATTTCTTCCTAAATTTTTCCTAATTATTTCATAAATATTTCCCAATTTAATAATCTTCCTAAAATTCTTCATAAGTTGTCTCCTTTAGGATGCTTTTGGGATCATTCTAGCAGGCGACAGTTGCGTAACCATAAACCAAACCCAAATTTGATCCTCTTGCAAGTGGAATAATAGTAATAATTAAAAAAAAAACACAAAAAAAAGCTTATACAGACAGGTCAGTATCTGTACAGCTTTGGCAGGGGGCTTGGAGTAGATGATCTTTCGAGGTCCCTTCCAACCCTGAACATTCTGAAGACTCTTTTTGTTAGAATCATCTTAACTGAGACTCCTCTGATGTGATAGCCACTGGATTCGAGACGTATTTTTCTCCTGATCCCCGGGATGCAGTTCTTTTAAGCCATAAAATTAACAGCTTCAGCTGTCATGTGGACCAAGGTATTTGTAGGGTTTGAGCCTCTTTGATGCCTTTGCTGCATCCAGCAGCTTTCATTTGTGTTTGATGCTCTGACACTCAGTGAAGGAAACCGTTTAAATAGAACATTTTGAAATATTTCTGTAAGTAAAGACATGGAGAAAAATAGCTTGAAGCTGAGCGGAATTGGCTTTTGCCAAAGATTTGGGTGTCCACGTCTTGGGTTTTGTCATTTTGGCACCCTGTTGGCAAAACTAAGAATGAAAACCAGCAATATTGGAAATAATTTAGGGCCAGCAATCAGTTGAAGAAACGCTTTTTTTCTGCCACTTTTAATGGTCTGATCAGCAACAGTTTTTCTATCCAGGATGAGCTTGTTTGATGTTTTCCACAGTACTTGTTTGTAGTTTTGAGTCCTCTTAGATTCTGAGAGACTCCCGAGTACGAAAGAATTAGGAAGGCCCATGAGACCTTCACAACTTCTTAGATATTCTACATCTGGAAAAGGTTTTTAAAAGTAGTCACTGTATTTTTTTTTTTTGTTACACATGCAGGATTTCTCAAAGACTTCTGCCTGTAATTGACTTGATAAGCTAATACCTGTATCTTTCTAGTTTTATTCTGGGGAAGGAATATTTTTTCTTTTTTTTTTTTTTTCACAGATTGCTTTCTTTTCTAAGTGGCTCAGAATAATTGAGAAAATCCAGATGTTTTTCTTTATTGAGTCAAGGAGCATCTCATTTCCTTGTGGAATTTACCTAAGTGTGTATCCAGCTGGGTGATGGAAAATAATGAGTTAGCAGTATCGGAGTTTTTTTCTCTGCTGCACAAGTATCTCTTATTGTACCTAAGCACATTTTTTTTTTTAAGTTTGAAGCTTCATTACACTCTTAAGGGATTTTGGGGTTATTTTGTTTGCATGGAAGGTGTCAAACTGGATTCCTGTTTCTAAAGAGCTGAAAGGCAGGAGCTTTTGAAATAAAGGCTCATCTTTACTCACACAAGCAGTTAAATGTCTGCTCACTAAGCGCAACATCTGTGCTTCAGTATCCTGAAAAAAAAGTTGTTTTTTTGCAGTGATTGTGTTATTCCAAAAAGTGTTACATAAAGAGAATCCACGACCTTTTCCTTGATTCAGGCTTTGTGAAACGTTCTCAGAGTACGGTTGGGTGTGTCATCCAGTCTCACGCGCGGGATATACACGTACCAAAAGTTGGGTTTGTTTGGCAGGAAACCTAGAATTTGTGTTTTCTTCTTGGATGTGTGTGGATAACATGCCTGGCTTGTGTTAGGAAGCTGATGAGTGTAAAATCTGTGTAAGGGACACAATACATTTTCTCTACTATCTGGTCTTTTTTTTCCCCCCCCCAAGAAAATCACACGACTGCCTGTCTTTGCTTTCGTAGCGATATCACACCCCGCCTCGATCACGGTCGTGCTCCGAGTCGGATGATGATGAGAGCAGCGAGACCCCTCCTCACTGGAAGGAGGAGATGCAGAGGTTACGAACGTACAGACCACCCAGCGGAGAGAAGTGGAGTAAAGGCGATAAGTAAGATCTTTACTACAAATTTAACATGTCTGGGTGTTTTACTCGAGCTTTAAGAGCTTGTGTGAGTGTACCATGTTGTTCATGCTTGAATTAAAAAAAAAAAATAAAAAATTTTTGTGGTTAACACATTCCATGTAAATTCCAAAAATCAGAAGCAGAAAACTTTCTGAAATCCTTTCTACTTTGCTAATGTGACAACAGATAAAGACACGCAGAAAAGCGCCAGGTCAGAAGAGTTGTTTCTGATGGTGCCATCTTTGATACTTAGTTAAGAAATAATTAACTGACCTGTCTGGTTTCCTGTTGTTTTCTGTAGAAATAATCATGTCGGATTTCCTTTAGCCTCAAACTTTGGTTTTATGCTTTCTTTGGCTACCAAGTAAGAAAATCAAATCCACCAGCCCTGTGTTGGTTTAGTTGTGTGTTCTGTCCGCAACATTTATCACAGCGTGCATTGCTGCATACCAACTAAAGAAATACTGAGTAAGATGATGTTTTAAAATTTCTATTTACATGTGGTTTAAGAATCCTCCAGTTTTTGAGGGCAAAGTCCTGTGGATTAGGGCAGTTAAAGCATTAAATCTCTTTACGAGGGCTCTGCAATATGCAAAATTTGCTGATGCTGGCTGATTCATTTCTTAGAGAGACGTCGCGCTCTTGACAGGGATGTAATTCTGTATCTTAAAATGAGTGGAACAAGCTCAGTCAAAACACAATTGTCCAGTAGCAAAGGGAAGAGATGCATGTTAATTTTTTTTCTAAACTTAATTGCATTGAAAGGGGGGACAATACTTAGCTTATCCATAGTTTTTCAAGAATTTTGACTTAACTTTGTTTGTTTTCTAGGTTGAGTGACCCATGTACAAGCAGGTGGGATGACAGAAGTGCATCCCGGAGGTCAAGGTCTTGGTCACATAATGGTTATTCTGATCTAAGTACTGTGAGATATTCGAGCCATCACAAAAAACACAGAAAAGAGAAAAAGAAGGTGAAACATAAAAAGAAATCCAAAAAGCAGAAGCATTTCAAGAAGCACAAGCAAATGAAAAAAAAGAAAACTTCGGCCTCGTCAGATGTCGAATCTTCTCATTCCTTCCTCAGGAGGACAAAGTCGTCTTGTGATCGTGAGAGGAAATCTCGTTCTTCTTCCTTGTCTTCTAGACGTTCATCCAGAAGAGACTGGTCTAAATCCGATAAGGAAGACCAGAGCTCATCGACTTTATCGAGCAGAGGGACTCGATCATACTACAGGTCCAGATCCAGATCTAGGTCGAAATCAAGATCTTATTCCCGAAAAAGTTCTAGATCGAGATCAGCCTCTAAATCATCGCGTTCTCGAAGTAGGTCAAGGTCAAGTTCTAACCCTAGGCATCAAAAGACAGTTTCCTGTTCTCCACCGGATATTTCAACGCGATTAACTGAAAATAAGTTGAACAAGACTGCTGAGCCTGTCAGAGCAGTTGTACTCCCGAGTGATAAAGTCGTCGTGCCACCAGTTGTCCCCGAAAACCTCCCTGTTATACCCTTAAGTGACAGCCCGCCGCCTTCGAGGTGGAAACCTGGGCAGAAACCATGGAAGCCGTCTTATGAGCGAATTCAGGAGTTGAAAGCTAAGGCCACCCATTTAATACCCGCACAAACTAATTACAATTTAATAGTCGTGAAAGAGACCAGCGCTTCCGCCTCGTATCACAAGCAGCAGAGGAGTTCAGACAGCGATCGCAGCCGTTATTCCAAATCTCGCAGCGACAGAAGCTCCGACAGTTGGCAGAGATCGAGAAGCAGGTCCTCTCGAAGCCGGTCGTACTCGAGGTCTTACACAAGATCTAGAAGCCCGTCTAGCTCCAGGACAAAATCTCGTTCTTCCGGCAGATCGCCGTCGCTGAGCAAATACCGCAGTGACAGGTCAGGTTATAGCGAGTCGACGTCGTCTTATTCCCTCAGCAATGACGACCGACACAGGAACAAGAGAAAATCCACGTCGAGCGATCAGAAAGCTCGGCCTCTTAAACTGAGGCAAGAAACCAGCTCTGAAGGTACTCTCCCTTACGAGTGTACGAAAGACTACGACGAGTCTTCTCAAGGACTGAAGGAGAGCAACAGTTCGTCATCTTCCGACTTCTCTACTGACAGCGAGCGTTCTGCCAAGATGAAGGTTTTCCAAGAAAAAGAAGGCCGTTTCCAATTAGAGGGAGACGCTCAGAAACAGGATAAAAACATCTTAAGTTCCGAGAGAGGGGAGGAGAAGCCCAAGCGTGAGCGGGATTCCGATCGTGCTAAAAAGAAAGCAGCCAAGGAGAAAGCTTCCGAGCAGCCGAGAGGTGGTGCGAAAACGAAACGAAAATCCTATTCGAGTAGTAAATGGGACTCGGAATCAAATTCCGAAAGAGGAGAGGCAAGGCCTAAGAGGGGAGATTCCAGACCCTCCTCTAGTAAAGAAGAAGGAGAGGCCACATCGGGATCCGATACGGAGCTCAGCGTTAGCAAAAGGATCAAAAACCAATCCAATTCTTCGGAAGGTTTTCTGGATTCCGATCGCACGTGGAAGATGGGCAAGCAGTTGTCGTCTTCGGATTCTTGGAGTTCTTGTTCTTGCTCAGCAAACATTAGAGTGAAGTCAAAAAACCGCAAGCACGGATTGAAAAAAACCCTTAAAAAATCACATTCCAAAAAAGCGAAAGAAAAGTCGAAAGGGAAAAAGGAGAAGAAACACAAAGTTCAGAAAAGAAAGGAGATGTTTCACTGGCAGCCCCCCCTGGAGTTCGGTGAAGAAGATGACGATGAGATAAATGAAAAGCCAGTTACCAAGGATGATAAAAAAGAAAAGCAACTTACCAGGGATGTAAATGAGAAAACCCAAGTTTATGAAAAGGAAGAAATAGTCAAAGATAAAATGGGAAACGGCGAAAAGTCTTGTGCGGATGAAAACCTCTTAAGTAAAAATACTACACATGATACGTCCCCAGCTCGCAGTAACCTTCACAAAGAGAGCCTCGAAACCGGTGCTTCAACCAGTATTTTAAACTCGGCAATAAACGTGTCTGCTTGGAAAAATGAGATAAAACAAGCTGAAGAAAGTAACCAGAATGGGTTGGAAGACGTTGTGCAGACAGATGACAACATGGAGATCTGTACTCCGGATCGGAACTCCCCAGGGAAGGTCGACGTGGATGTTTTGTCTCCTGTCCTTCTTGCTGCTAAACCTCAGCCTTTAAGTGCTAGTACAGACAAAGATTTCCAGGCTGAGACCCCCGACCAAGATGCTGCCAAACTAGGAGGCAATATTATAGACTTCAGTAATAGTAAAGAGGAAAAAGAAACGGGAAGGCAAGAAAATAACTCTGTCCCTGTATCTAGTGCTAAAGACTGTAGCTCGAAAAGTGAAACTGGTGAAAATACACAAAGCAATACAATAGATAATAAGTGGAAGCCTTTGCAAGGTGTTGGTAATTTACAGCCGGCGGCAATTAGCGCTCCTGCGGAAGTTAAGAATGTACCTTCGGCCCCAGAGCCCAAACCAGCAGGTTTAAGAATTGAAATCAAAGCGAAAAATAAAGTAAGGCCTGGCTCTCTGTTTGATGAGGTTAGAAAAACAGCGCGGTTAAATCGAAGGCCGAGGAACCAAGAAAGTTCCAGTGAGGAAGAATCTCCTGGTCGGGATGACAATAGCCCGTCCAGGAGTCTCAGTAGGTCACGAAGTAAATCCGAATCGAAATCCAGACACAGGACACGGTCCTTATCCTACAGTCACTCGAGAAGTCGATCGCGAAGTTCTACGTATTCATACAGGTAAGAATTCGGTTTGATGTGGGAACGGCGCAAGATTAACCAAGTTCTGATACTGTTGAGGCACGATTAGCTTCTTCAGCTCCCGTTTTCCTTCTAAACAGCACTGTTTCATTTTGCAAGTGTGGAATAAATACTTAGCTGAAAAGATAAGGCTTTGTAATGCTTCCTGTTTTGTGCTGTTCTCCTCGGTTACATTTTGTGCTTTTCAAAGCTGTTCGTTGCTCGCAGGTCAAGAAGCTACACGAGAAGCCGAAGCAGAGGCTGGTACAGTAGAGATCGGTCAAGAAGTCGAAGCAGTTCCTACCACAGTTACAAGAGTCGGAGGTGAGATTTTTCTGAGATTGTTTCGCGGGGGGGACGTTGCAAAACCAGTAAATCGGGCCCAGCAGCAGCGCGAGTTGGACGTGTGCGGGCTGCAGGCCGAAGCATCTGTTGAAGTGTGTGAGTTGAACGAGTCACATTTCCAAATTTCCCGTTAGCGAGAAATGATTTCGTTTAACGTTTCGTAGTGCAGGTAAGGAATTGCGACCAGAACATGTTTCCTCTCACCCCTCTTCTGCCCCAGCTCTCTTCCCATCTGTTTTCCGTTAGCTTAAAATGTCTTTTTTGGGTTTTGTCAGTCGAACCTACACTAGGAGTAGATCCAGAAGCAGTTCCTACGGTCATCACAGTCGATCCAGGTATGGATTCTAGTTTGTGTAAAAAAACTTTGCGATAAACGTACTTATAAAAAAAATGAGAATACCCCTTTATCGCCCTTAAAAATACAACAGCGTGATAGCAACTTGAATCAAAGCAAAATCAACGTAAGGTGCTTTCAGAAGCTGAAAAATAACCACATCATCCTGACATTTGTTACAGGTGATGATATAAATAATAGTGAACAACTTTCCCTTTCTTGTTGAACTTAAATCGAGATATAAATGGAATCACTTTGTTACATGTTTTCAGGAGTTTTGCCAGACTTACCATATCTACGGTTGGTAGGGAAAATGCAAAGTTTTGAAATGCTAAGTATTTTCTGAATTAATCAATTTAATATTTTTACTGTGGTTCTAAAGATGCTTGGTTTCATATTTAAATTTCTAGAAAACATAGAATTGCTCTCTTTGCCACATCCTGCAAAAGTAGTTCTGTGTAGCGACTCGGTATATAGATGTCTCTAAAACATCTGTTTAAAACAAATAGCATTTTAGACAAGAAATTTTACGATTATTTTCTTTTTAAAGTAGGTCATACACGTATGATAGTTACTACAGCAGAAGCCGAAGCAGAAGTAAAAGGAGCGACAGCTATCGAAGATCTCGAAGTTACGACAGGCGATCCAGGTATGGGCTTGTGAGCTTGACTTTGCCACTGTGTTTATGCAATAAAACAAAAAACTTGCCAAATACGTACTTAGGACATTCATGAAGGTGATTTTCCTCCCCCCAAACATAAAAACAAAACCTTATTACCAAAAGTGCGAATTAAAAGTGTTTAAAGTAAGTGTGTGAGTGAGGAAATCAGAATTCTGAACATGGAAAATTTGAGGATGGGGAAGAAATGAGGATAAGAATTTGAGGAGGCTCCAGGACATTGTGTGTACGCATTCAAAATAAGCACATTTGAGTTTTTTTAAATATTTTTAAGCGTTTCTTCAAAACTACAATGGGCTACCTCTCAAGATTTCAATCAAGCGCCTTGTTATGGATTAAAAGCTCCTTAGTAGGCAAAGAATTCCTTTAGGTGATAATTTTTTGGGGGGAGGTTGATCTGCAAAAGTGGATTAAGCAAAAAACAATCTGGAAGTGAAGTTACAAATTGCGCTGCCACCCAGAATTAATTTTGCACTTCTTAGAACGTCTGTGTAGGGGATCCTTTACCTGCCAATCCAAAATAAAACCTATCTATGAGTTCAGATAGGTTTTATTCTACACAGTGCAGGGGAGTTTTGTAGGTGTGAGCACACTTCCCAGAGGTCACAAGTGGAACAGAGGAGGGATAGGTGTGTGTATCTATTTATACGTATTTACATGGTGAATATCAGTGATGATTTGCTTTGTGCTTTTTTATTATGTCCCGTATTAGCGGTAAATCCCACTGATCCCTGTGACTACTGCAAATTCTCATCCTTTGCTATCCTATACTCATTATTTTTTTCCCAACTCTATACTATACTAACTCATAATGGACTTTACTCTCACTCATTTTCCCCATTTAGATCTGACAGTAAGATAACTCTCATCTTGTGTTTGAGGGGAAATTAATGAGAGTATTGAAGAGAACTTCCCAAATCATCATTCAAATCTTGGGGAAGCTTCAGAGAAACAACATGGGATTAGACTTTCATTTAGAAAGCTTTTCCTTACAGGCACAAGGCTAGAAAATCTCCAGTAAAAGTTTGTAATTTGAGTATATAATATGAATATTTGTGTAATTTGAATATGTCCTGTGGCTTGTCTGGACTCGTATCTTGGTGTTTCGCCAGGTGCTGAGGCCAAAAAGCCAAAACATTTTCATCCACAGCTTCCACTCTGCAGACACTTGCAACTCCTGTTGTTAAAAGCCTTCTTCAAACAAAAACCAGCAGAATAGAAAGCAAGGATTTGAAATGTGGGCTTGGCTGAGAAATGCTTGCAGTATAAAACTGTATTTGTTAGAATAAGCTGCTCGGTCAGCTATTGCACTCACCAAAAAAAAGTTGGTTTGGGTGATTCCTTAGCTGTATCAGAGAAAACAAGAGATTTTTGTAGTGCCCATCACAGTGTGACTTGAATTGACGTGGGGTTTTCATCATGTCAGGTTAACGGTTATCAGAATTTTGAGTGCCCCGTAATGAACTGAAGTTCATACAAAATATCCTGTAAAAAACTTTGTGTATGTTTTCTTCTTGTCTCGTGTGTATCTGTCGTGACATTTTTTTATTTTTATTTTTTTATTTTTATTTTTTTACAACTTTGACTTTGAAGCTCCAAGTACGATCCTGAGGCATTTTAACCTTTTCTTTGTAGATCTTACGGCTCTGACAGCGAAAGCGACCGCAGCTACTCGAACAATCGGAGTCCCAGTGAAAGCAGCAGATACAGCTGAAACCACTTCCCTGGTGATGGAAACTGCTTTCAAGAATTTTTTCAGTATTATGTTATAAAACAAAACTGTTTTGACAGCGTCACAAGTGAAGCTGGAAGGTGTTTACCGAGCTCACTGAGACTTCGGCAACTTGCTTGACTGACTCTATAACTAAAGAAGCCCTGAGCTCAACTCAACTGATTTATTTTTTTTTATATTATTTCTTTTTTTTAATATCAGATGCTGCTTTTACAAAATAGAGAAAGGGAAAAAAAAAAAGTTTTATTTCCTCAAATTGGATTTTTCCAAGCCATGAGCGACGCTGAAGTGAACTTGGTGCCGCCACTTCCATGGGTGCAGCCATCGGCACCGTTGTCACATCTGGTTCTGAGCACCGTTACTCTTAAGGATACGCTAGCAACTCTAAAACTGTGAAGAAAAAACTTCTTACAGAGGCTGCTGCAGTTTCTAGTTTATTAAAAATGCATATTATTATTTTTTAACACGGGAAGATGAGTCCTGTGCCCTCTCGTTTGCCGATCCACATGGAAACACAAGCCTGCCGCTCTGTCTTAATCCTTCCTGTGCTGTGACGTTACGGAATTCTCCTGAAAAACGGGGAGATTAGACCTGCCAGGAATTGTCAAACTGACAAGCAGCGAAGAGTTTTGATCTTAATACCCAACTTGGCTAAACTTTTATGTTCGGGGGCAAGTCCTGGTGTTGAGTCTAAGAAAAAAAAAAGTGTTTCTAAACACTTTTAAGAATCAAAATGGAATTTTCTTACAGCGCTTGCCATACTTACACACTTTTTGAAGTTGAACGTTGTAAACTGTTTTAAGTATATCATGAGTTTGTTCAAAAAAAAATTTTAAAAACTTAACATGATGATGATTTTTTTTTTTTTTTTAAAAAAAAAAAAAAGGAGCCATAGTGGTTCCTTTATACAATGTCTGTAGGCGTTTCCTATTTGCTGTAGGGAATCTCTATATTGTTCAAGTGATATGACCACAAAAATACTGGCGTGCCCTAGGAAAAGCATGGCCGCTACTTTCAGAGTTCGATACCAAAAATGACTCCACGTTGCAGGTAAATGATTTGCAAAAAAAAAACCCATAGAGGGAGCTGCAGAGCATTGAGTGGTTTCTTTTAATTTTATATTCTTTTTGCAATATTCCAGTTGAGTTCATTTAAAACAATCTGTGAAATTTGTTCAGCATTTAGAGAGTTGTGTACTAAGAAATGGGCTTTGAGTGGTGTAACGCAGCCTGAAAAGTGGAGTCGGTGGTGAAAAACCAGACTAACGTAGCTTTAATAGAGCTAATGAGTGCTGTTGTATTATACTAGTTCTCATTACTGACTTCCTCTAATATCTTGAGATGCTTTCATTTTCTTAAATATTTTCAAATATTGAAAGTTATTTACTTTTTTTTAAAGAAAAAAAATCTCATCAGGACCCAACAGCTTTGAAAACTAAAAATGGGGTAATTTCTTGCCTAGACGTCGGTTCGTACCATCTCTTTGACTGAATTAAGGATCCAAAATTAGCTTTTGCTACTCTTCTGCGACATGAAAAGAAAGTTCAAAGTGAAGCTGGAAGCCGGTAATGATGCCCCCTGTTTCTGTCCATGAGCTGAGTAAGAACATTTCTGTACGCGGGTTCCTAAAACTGAATTTCCCATTTCGGTTTTTCCCTTTCTGAGAAGAACCCAAAATGCTGGACTTAACCCCTTCCTCACCTCGTAGTTCAATGAAAAAACGTGTGCATGGGACCCTTTCGAATCAGTATTTTCTAAGCTTAGGAGTTTTTTTTAAAAATTACGTTTATTACTCAAGTCTGCACATTTACAGACATGTTTCTAACAGCAGCAGCTGCTTGAGTCCTGCACAAATATTTCATTGCTGGCTCAAGATTTGAAGTTTCTTAGTTTTAAATACAAATGTAACTTGTTTTTTTTTCTTTTTTTTTCCCCCCCTTACTGAGAAAATAGAACTAGTGGGCTAGAGGTGGAACAAAATATGCAAATCCAAGCCTTGCCATTTGGTACTTCCAAGAGAAAAAATTTCCTCAGAGTTGGACTTTGTCATATTTCAGATGTTAAAGCCAGGAAAAGGTGGTAGAAACACGATCAGTCAATTAATTGTCGCTTTCCAAAATGACTGCACCATCACTAATGTCTCTTTCATATCTGGAATTGAAGCTTTATGAAGGAATTCCACCTGGAGAGGGATGTGAGGAAAGGGGAGGGGGAAGTATTTTTACTTTATCTGAGTCTGTTAAATTGTGCTTCGGAAACAGGACGTACCCCTGAGCTGGTTTTCTACCGTTGGTCTATGTTTTTTGCAATTTTATTATCGAAAAGTAGTTGCTGTTTGTAAAATAAACTTTTGTACATATCTGCAATTGCCGTTTTCTCTACGTCCAGAAAAAAATCCAGCGCTGCTTGGGGCAAACGGGCAGGAAAATTAAAATTACCCTTCAGTTGCTGTATCCACGTCTGTCCCTCGCAAGACGACGTACGAGATGCTTTTCCTTCTCCTGACCTACATAGGGAGTGATTCCTCAGCAAGGCTGCGCAGGGTTTACATAACAGTCGTCGGAGGAACAAATATTTTGAAATTTCCGAGCGATTTGAGGTTTCACCATTTCCTCAAGGTCTAGAGAAAGCTCCTACCCTTTTCGCAGAAGATACCCTTAACGGATCTCCCCAAAAATCTCTAAATGTGCCGAGTTTAACCACTTCTCGAAATATTATTTCTCAAATACACGTTTTCACATCCTTTCAGTAGCACGTTGGAAATGCGGTATTAGTTCAAGTCAGCAGATGTAATGGCTCGGCCGACTAATCCATTAGTCTTTTAAACCTTCTGTTCCAGGAGAAAAAAACGGATTTAATTGGAAAATGCTGGCTTTGTCCTCATGGAAAGGCTAATTGCCTTGCTTGGAGGTAAAAAGGACAAGTGGGAGCATTCCCTTGGCGTTCAGTTTAGTCTTCACCGTGAACCTGGTGTTTCCCAGTTGTTGGAGCACTTTGAGGAGGAGGAGCAAGAAATCTTAGGCAGGAGAAGCTGGAATTCCAGGAGTTACATAGAGAAGAAAGGTATAAAAAAATGATTTAAGGTAGGCAAATAAGAGATGGCAAATGAAACCAGTAGTCTCAAATGTTGGACAACCTCTGGAAGTCTGTCTTCTTTAGAGTTAGCCAACAGCCTTTCTGTTTGATGCATAACGTTGCTTTTTGTGCCTCAGAAAGCTGCATTCTGTGCCGGAGTTAAACCTTGGGACCATGGCGGCCTCACTCAGGTGCCGCAGAGGTCAAACCTCGAGGAGGCTGGAGGAGCCGTGGTAAAAACAGAGCAGCTGATACCCGCTTGTGTATTGCTCACGAGTGACGTTATTCTTTTTCTATAAATCTTAAATCCTGCGTGGTCGTAAAAAAACATTGCTCGAGTGTAAGTGGCTTCATCCAAAAATAAAAACAAAAGGAGGGAGGGGGGTTTTGAATGAGCTGAGGTCTGTGTGGTGGGTTTTTCTGGCAGTGGGGTGGTGCGGCTCTAAGTGTTCTGCCTCCAGTTGCAGGTGAGTGACTGGTCTAGAGTGAGACAACACTCAGTGAGCCGGCTGGCCATCGAACCACTCCTTATAAAGCACATCTTTACAAAGCAGCAGCAGCAGAAACGCGCTTTTCGTTCGATACCGACGCGCGGAGAGATTTCCTTCCCGCTGTATCACTTAAAGCAAGGGCTGCTCCCATCCCTGCACTCGAGGGTAAGAAGCGTTTCAAGTGCTCTTTGGAAAGATCACCCGAGTATCTTGGGGGCGTATTAAATTTCCGTTGATGGCTTTGTGCGCTTCCCGACGGTCACGCTTGCAGTTCGGAGCAGGATTGAGATGACCTTGAGTTGCACTCGGAGAATCCCATCTGGTGTGATTTCCAAACGGAACGCTGCCTGGGCTTGAAATCGTGAGAAGATAAAGCTTTGCATGCTCCGCCCCTTCTTAACAGCCATATGAATTTTTATTTTTTTTTTTTCTATGTGGTTGTGGTTTTCCACCTGTTCATATTATTTTATTATATAAACAATTAAAGGAACCTACTCTTGAATTTAAATTAATGTTTTCTGAAGTAGAAGTGCACGTGAAATCAGTCTGTGGCAGTTTGGGGTTTGTTTTTGGTAAGGAAGATGATATTTCAGAGTCGCAGCAAATGCACAAAGAGGAGATTGGGCATTAATTCAGTGTATTGGTAGCTCTGCTGTGGTGTGTGTCTGTCCTTAACAGAGCCTGGTGCAGCCCAACAAAACCCAAAGGATGATGGAACATGGAGAGGGCTGAGCTCAGCGCAGCTCGTGACCACTTGTAGCCCCCTCGCTGACATTATGTCCTAGTTCTGGCCTTGGGCTGCAAATCCTTTAATTTCTTAATTCAGCAACAAGGGGCTGCCCCGTTCTCTTGGGTTTTCTTGCAGCTCATACCCCCAGTGAGCGTTCTGCCCCTCCCCTCACCCATCCCATCCAGCATCTGCATCACTTCTCCCCGGTCCAGCTTTGCAAAAGGAGCCGTGAAGAGCAGGAGGAGGACTGGGAAGGTCCTCGAGGATGGGAGAGGGTGAAGGGGCTCCTTGCTGCACGGCCAGGAGCAACACCCGACTTTGGGGAACGTACCAGTGAGATCAATCAACAAATGGAGGCTCTTGGGTCTCCAAGAAGTACATTTAAGGAAAAATGAAGGAGCCCTTGTTTCTGATTAAATCACTTGACCTCCTGCCGTGCCGTGCTGTCGTATTCAAGTTGAGGTGCAGCCTCAGAAACAGGGAACAGGCTTTGGGGTTGTCTGCAGGCTCTGGCAGAGCCAGCGGTGGAGATTTCCTCGTATAAAAGAGCTGAGGTGCCAGAATAAAAGCAGCGTGTCGGTTGTTATAACCCAGTTGAGGCTGTACAAAGAAAAGAAAAGGCAAGACGACAAATACACGATCCTCAGGAAACTTATCAGGGGTTTTGCAACGTGTGGACCACTGTGT